GAGATGCCTAGGTATAATTCATATACCCAGTACTGTAGTTATATATCTGTGAGTAGGTGAGTAAGAAAGGACAAATGGGCAAAATGGGAATGGAGAAAAGTTAAGATTTATTAAGGAAAAAGGCACAGCATGGTGGAAGAGGCAGTTATGAAGCCTGATAATAAAATATATCCCTTGATAGTGAAACATGAGGGTTTGATGCAGCACAAGCCAAAATACTTGTAAAACAATACCAATGGTTGTTCATTAAGAAAATGAGAAAAAAATTTTTTGGACAAGTGTGTTTAGTGGCAAGTAGCATTAAGAACATAATAGGATATGGAAATTGTAAGTTAAAAAGATAAGGGGAAATCTAACTACCCAGTAGTTAACTCAACTCTGTAAAATAAATATCGAGGGATTGGAATTTTCAGTCAACAGTGAACATTGCTATATTGTTGAATTCATAATTACTAGACCTATGTTATTCATTGCTTTTTAACACAGAAGATGCCCCAAAAAATTTAAACTGGCCAAGAGTAAACTGCAGGATGAATGTTTAGGGGAAAAATTAGAGAAATTGGACAAGAAATATACTGTACACTGTATACTGAAATTTTGATAAGGGTCCAGTTGTGGATCACATAAGGAAGACTAAATAGATACACAAATGCTTCCGGCATAAGTGACAAGTACAGAAAGAAATAGAAACCACACTACTGAATGGATACATTGATCACTCACAGTAAACAGGAAGCCATGCTGATAAGGATGAAACAAAATGTGACCAAGATGTACGAATATTGAGTGCTTCTTGTATGTAACTTACAGTAAGGTAGAGGTGGCATGAGAATAAGGCCATGATTGAGAATTACTCTGGGTCAGAGAAGCAGGAAATATTCAGATGAAAAATGCAGTTAAACACATTACAAGACATCAGCTACCCCAATATAGGTTATACTGTAGTGCATTGCAAAGAGGTGATGTAGAGATTCAGAAATTCACCATTGATATACAGTACAGTACTCAGATATAACCAACAGATTAATGGAAAGATGTGTTTGTGAAGATCTCATTTTGAAAATGCTAGTTGAGAAAATACTATGAATTGTGCAAATAACATTGAGCTAAAATTGAATTTCGTAAATTGATTTAAGAGCAGTGCAAAGTATGTGGTGGCAACAATGAGCTTTGGAATAGCATGTGTATATACAATAACTAGACTGTTACAAGTGAATGTAATAAAGCCAGGTGAATGTTTAGAGGAAGAAGAATGCAGGACTAAAACACGTCTAGATGAAACGATGAAGCGACTGAAATATATAGTAAAAACTTCCTGCTAAGGATGGGAAAAATGAACATGCAACATGTCTCCAAAAAGACTAGTTGCTTGAGCTTCAGGGTAATGATATAATTAGTCCCCAACCCAATACCTGATGTTCACCACAAGCAGGTGATAGTTCTCAGATATCACAATTACTAGTTGGTTACAGAAGAGATTAAATTTCCAGAATACATACAAAACTCAGAGTAGTAGTGGTAATAAAATTGATAGAAAACTGTCTTGCCACATTCAGCTAATAAGAATCAAACACTGTAATGCATCTATTGCCAAATTAAACTCTGCCTTCAGGTGTGACCTTTACCTTTGTCACACTTAGATTTGGTAGTCTGCACCATTAGTAATACATATTAGTTTAAGACACACCCAGACAGCCAATCTCATTCCACAATGCATCCATTTTTCATAAGCATATAAAACACACTGTGTCTGGAAAAAGCACTGCAGTAGTTTCTGAGGTTAACCAAACCTGTGATGGAGGTTCATTTATATGAATGCATGGTAAGATCATAAATTTTCAAGGGAATGTAAAAAGGGAAGAGTTATAGATAAAACAATATAATATGCCTGCCCTGTACTCAGTTGTGTGAAGTGATGGGTAAACCAATTGAAAATCTGGAGGCCCTGTTGGGGAAAGAGGAACACAACAACATAACACACCTAACCAGCAGCCATAATGAATGATTGAGAAAACCTGTTTTGTTTTATTCCAGCACCAGTCTAGACCAAAATAAGAGAGCTTGAATGTGGAGAAAAAGCCCAGCGGGGAGTTAATAGCACTTCAAACAAAAGATCTCCATGTACATGACAACTAAGTTAAGTGTAGACAACCAAGAATGACCTTGTTTTTGGTTAGCATATTAAACAGATATCCAGAATTGAACACCTGGCGGTGGTTTATCGTATCATGACAAATACATAGGCTTAATTATAAGCAGTTCAGTATTGAAGCACAGTACAATATAGATATACTATAGCAGAAGCACCAGGTTTAGCAGTGAAGTATGACTGAAAAAAGTGAAATCAACAGTATACTGTACTGTAACTACATCCCATGTATTGGGATACAAAATATTCAACAAACTTGTTAGGCAGTTCAATAACTTTAAAAAAATCTACATAAAATGAAAATTTGGGAACCAGTAATTCAAAGGAAATGGTAATACAGTACAGTAGAACACATCTGATAAACCAGTTAGAAGAAATAAAAAGACTGCAGATCTGGCTTCTTGCCATGATGTAACACTATGATAAGACTAGAAAACAAAGGGGGTAGCAAAATACTGTATGTAGGTTATTCTTTGTATAATATATATATATATATATATATATATATATATATATATATATATATATATATATATATATATATATATATATATATATATATATATATATATATATATATATATATATATATATATATATATATATATATATATATATACAGCTCACAGGGTCAAGAAAGGACATTTAAAAGTGATGACAAACTATACATGCCCATTAAGAGGATTTGGTTGGACTCTTTTGACACAGCAAGAGTACAGTATATGGAACAAAGCTGGTTAAAATGTAATTTTGTCTAGGACTAACTGAAATAACATCTTTTGACAACTTTGTCTAAGTATTTAAAAACAATTGTAAGTGAAAAAATATAAAAGTAAAAAAAACCTGCTGACAGTTTTGGTTGCCAGATATTGTTCAACGTAATAAAGAGGACAACTTGGTGGCTCGTCTGTTGTCGCCAAACCCCTCAGAAAAGTGATCTGGGGGAGTAAGGTGGTGTTCAACAGGAGACTAATATTGAGGATAATGAGTGGTATTACCATAATTGCTCACCATGTAGTATAAAAGAATAGGGCATTTACTGAAACATGCAGATTGTCATACAATGATGCAGCTTTAGTACTGACCACCCAATAGTAACAATGATTAGTGACAACAGTACAGAGGGAGATCTTGAGCAATGCTAATATTGCAGGTTGTTTCATGAACACTTAAATATTTTGATGCATAATTAAACTGTCAGCATTAGACACACTGGAAGCTATTTTAATATAAATGTCCGTGAAAAGCAAGAAGGTACGAATTCGGGAACTTACAAGCCAACATAAATATTTATTGATAGGATGGCCTGGAGTCGTCTTCATGGCCAACAACAAAGAGCAGGCAGGTATTAGGGGAAGTTGAAAGGGATTTTAGTAACCTGCAAATAATGTAATTTCTAAAATGAATGAAAACTCCTCTTGCATGACAACAGTTTTAACACATGAAATAAAATATTCATGAATTCTTGCACAATAGGTCAGATTAAAATGTCAATAAATATGGAGAAGCCAAGAAATTTTTGAAGTGTAAAACCTGAACAGATGGAAAAATTTTCCGAGGGTCATCTCTACAAGCCCAGTGCAATTATGATCATGGCTGCAATGAAATGCCATGCCTGAGAATATGGATACAAAACAATAAGACACCAACATAAATCAAAGTCAGGTGTGTGTGTGAAATGCACTAACGTAAGGGACAAGCATTAGTGATTGAGGAGTAAAGTCTCAAGGTATATAAATAGAATGTAAACAATTTAGGCATCATTATGTAATGAAAATGGTTTTAACACTGATCATTAGCTCAATAAGAAGAATTATATAAGAGTTGATTAATATATACAGGGTCAAATGAAAATGCCCAAATTTTAAATGGGTCTCATAAAGCTTACCGATTATTGTACTAGTGTTAGTACTGTAGTACTGGCTATGCCCGACGCCCTTTGCCTTGTACAATGGCATAGTTCAAGAGGAAGCACATTACATGTCAAGAAAAAAAAAAAAAAAAAACACAATGAACTCTTCGAAAATTATGATTTTTTTTTACATTTATAAAGATCACTTAAGCAAGTCTATTTTATGAAATATAACTAATTAAAATCTGGACTACCTCTTATTGCTGACCCTGCATATATCACATCCAACCTTGACTCTTACATTAATCAGCAGGTCTTGAGTCTCATTGGTTTAGATAATTTCTTCAAGGGGCTTAGTGCATCTGTTTTATCTCATGCAGAAGTAAATTATGTACAACTATAACAAGGGTGAATTAACAAGTCAATAATCCATCTAACGACTACCACCACCCACTTCCTCGACAGTTCAAAAACATTTTGTATTTTGTCCTAACAATCACCACTTCATACTTAGTGAAACATTATTTTCCAACTGCAAGCAACTGTTTGATGGCCACAACAACATCTAAACTTGTCACTTAATGTTTCTAATGTTGCTGTTGACCTTCAAGGTGGTAAGTCAGTAAATAAAATGTGTTGAAGACTGCATGTGCTACTTTGTTTTGAATGCAGCCAAGATATAACCAACAAATATGGGTACTGCACTGTATTCTATATAATGCTGAGAAGTATAGTAAGGGGAATTATAAAACACAGCACAGGATTCTAGACTGAGTGAACAGCAGGGCAAACCTCAGTCAGAGTACACAGCAATGCAAACGAACTGGGATTGTTTATTAGATGTGACTGAAATTACAATAAGGGGATTTTCAACAAATGAAGGACTTTGATTATGTATCGGCAAGGGCCAAGTAAAGGTAAATGCACGGAAATTTACGACAAGTTGTGTACACAACACTTATTACAAAACACACAGCAAAGGTAGGGTACAGAAACATATTTTGAAAAAGGAGCATATATATATATTAGCAGTAGTGGTAACAAAGCTATTACAATGATTTACCAAGCATACTGGTTACACCATGTATCCATAGTTTATATCAGGCAATTTCATAACAGGCATGTAAAATGGAGATCTTCATTAAACTTCGCTACCGATCTTCTACAATAAGAAAATGCAACACCCTCATCAACCTTTCAAAAAAGTAATGTCCCATGGAAACCAAATATTTATAAATGTCCAAAAAAAATCTCCATGGAGACCCACGAGGACTTCCGTGCAACAAAATAGCCATCAAATTCATTGTTAAAGCTCTGATTAATGCAGTAACACTGGTAAAAAATAATTCCTAATTAACCTAAGAGAAATCTAATTTTGAAATGATTACAGAACCGTGCAAAGAAATATTTTTATATGCATTATATCACAATTAAGAGAACTTTTTCGAGTACCATCATGGATGAACCTTAAGAACCTACCATGCAGGTCCAACAGAATTGGGAGACAATTGGTAGGTTTGTCCCAACAACTTCATTACTATCCTCAAAGAATGGACAACTTATTTGTAGGTGCCAACATACTTTTCTGCTTTAGTTGCCTAACAATATTCTTTGGAATAAACATCAATTCTTCATTACATGGAATTAAACAGATCTATAACAAATAATTGCCCATACTCAAGAAAGATTTGCTAGTTACACGGGGGTATTCAGCAACTCTGGGGGACACCTTTTCACCACAATATAGCATAATGAAATTTTGCATATCGGGTGACAAACCAGTTTCATCTTCCTACACAAACCTGAAGTTCTGCAAGAACACTTAGCAATAGGATAAACAATCCCATTACTAACTGGCATGATAATCCACACCATACTCATGTGTAAGATGAGTCAGTTTTATCTTCTGACAAATCCCAAGTTGGCCGAGAGTATTAGCAGTGGGTAGACAATCCAATAGATTTAAAACAGAGAAATTATTAAAAACTATATATTTCTTTGTGCCACCACGGATGTTGCTTGGCAAGGCCCCAGATGTTGCTTCTTCAGGTCATTGGAGAAAGTCCTATATTCTACCATTAGGTCACTGCTGCTTACATTCTGCTGGCTGACCTTTAGCTGCCTTGTCTTTCGTTGGATCGTAATCGGGATCGTCTTCCTCCTCTTCATCATCACCTTCCTCTCCTTAAAATAAATTCAGACATTTTCTTTAATTGCATCTGAATTCCTTAAAATGTACTGAAAATTAACATCACTCAACTGGATATATCATGAAATATAATCACGTAAAGGTTTGTTGTTCAAAACTACCATAAATATTAAGACTAAGAAGCACTAGGTCGGTCTCATACATGGTATATCAAAATGTTCAGCAAAAGTTTTAAACGACCTACTTGCTGCAGCAATCTCTGGTCAGTATCAGAAGGCAGTGTGCAGCATTTAAGCAACTAAAACGTTATGCTAGAACTTTCCTTCCAACTTTTGCAGGTAATTTACCCGTGTGAGTCAAGGTTTAGCCCAGTGAAATCCCATGATCCACTCCCAGTTCAGCAGGCAAGAGGTTGATTTTACTACAAATCTTGTTAATGATTTTAAGCCACATGAAAATAGGATAATGAAGTGTACAGGTACATGAGTGACAAAGGGAAGGGTGGGTATTGAGATGACAAGGTGGAAGGATAGTGAAGGAATATGTGAACAAGATGGGTTAGTATGGAGCCATGTGATGCACTGTGCAAATATAGGAATGCTTTGATAAAACTGCTCAATATCACCCTACTGGACAGAGGAGGCAGTGTGTTGGATACAGAAAGAAGCCACGAGCAGTCGACAGGTTCCTATATTTTCAAAAAATTTGCTCAAAATTAACCAACTTCCATGTTCCACCAGGATTGGGTCAATCATATTTCACAAAAGACCATACCCATGCATCTTTCTTCACACCACTACAATTACAGCAAAGCATCTATATAACTATCAGGTTTATATTCAAGCTTTTAAGTGACCATCTGCAAACATGCAAAGAACCAACATCTATTACAAATATTATCTATGAAACTCTCACTCTCCAAAAAATAAGTTAGTCTCTTGTTAGTATACCTGAACTTCTGGGTGATGCTATGGTGCTACACTGAACTGATTATTGACCCTGTGAATATAACAATTTTTGGCATGTCAACACAAACTTTTTAACACGTTAAACTAGTACTTCTGATTCTCACTACAGAGGAACAACAAACCTTCAAATGATAACACTAACATACCACCCACAACTAAATTAATACCAATAAAAATATTGTACAAAGCTGCAATATAAAATGATTATATATATATATATATATATATATATATATATATATATATATATATATATATATATATATATATACAAAACTATGTACCATGTTTTTTTCCAGAATATCCCCAAATCTGGCTAATACTGATACCCAAGTTAGATGCAAAGTTAATTGGCTTATTCAGTATACATATTGTATAATATGGGGTCAAGGGAGAGGGATAGGTTTCGCTTTGAAATATCACAAAAACAAAACTTGTGATACATATATATATAATCACACTGCCCACCACCAAGATTTCACCTGCTGGAAGCTCCTTTGAACGACAATGTGAAACGCTCAGTTAAACACATTGGCTTCAGTTCAGTTTTAATATGAACCTGTCACGTCTCTATACCAGTTCTCAGTGGGGTGGCTCATGCTTAGAAATGTATATTTTGAAACCTTTCAAAGGATACAAGTTAAAAAAGAAATAAGTCAATAAAAGATGGACATCATCCTGGTAAGCAGCAGGCTAGATGCCACCCATAACAAACAATACAGGGATGAGATATCAATAACAATTCATTGATTCTCACTCGAGATAAAATGGGGAGACATTCACTGTAATATATAATTTATGAGGGGTAGTTATTCATTCCAAAAATAAAGTAACATTATCTGTCAAAGTTTAAATGGACTTAGAAATTCAAGGCTAAGGATTTTTCACAATTCAGAGACCAGGTCAAGAAAGCCACTTCATCTTTGATGTTTTATGGCCATTTTCCAGATGTATGGGTTGGCCATATTACCCAATGGCAGCTGTGTGGTCTCTTGCCACCTAAACCACAAACCTTGAACCCATTCAAATTTGGGGATTTTCTTTTGTATGTAGATAGAGAAGCCCCAACCAAAGTAAACATTATACAGGTTGACAATCCCTTATCCAATATCCTTGGGACCAGATGCATTTCGGTTTTTGGAATTTTTCGGTTTTCAGAATGGTTAGTTTTTTTTTACAGGGATCAGCCCACCCAGGCACAGGTCACTGATCCACATTGGGGCCTGGGGGCTAAAATATAATAATTCATAGGTCTAGGTCGTGTTTCTCACTTTTGATCTTTTTTCATTCTTGTATTTCCTTATTATTATTTTATTATTACGGTATTATTGTTACTCTTTTATTTTTGAGTATTTTTTATTAAAATTTTTATTTACTATGAATTATTATTATTACTGTATTATCATCATTATTACTATTACATTTTCACCCCCCAGGCCCCAATGTGGGTCAGTGACCTGTGCCCGGGTGGGCTAATAATAATAATAATAATAAAAATGGCTCCACAATTTTTTTTTTCGGTTTTTGGAATTTCGGATAAAGGGTTGTCAACCTGTAAATGTCCAAGAATTAAGGGAGATAATTATATTACTTGTTCATCACTATAAGGAGCACACATGACCTGGTGGCCTTCAAGACAACCTGTTCTGAATCTAGAAAACCCACCAACCCCACAAGTGGATAGTAATTGGATACCTGTGCAGGACAACAAACAGTACAGTAAGACAAAACCATAGAATCGATGAGGACAAATTTAAGGGGGGAGGATCAGGAGGATTAACATAACTATGTACAGTACCTCATTATATTAATAAGAATGTAAAACAAGTCTTCAGTATTCCTTCAGTCCACATTTTGTACTATACAGCTGCTCCAACCCAGCATGTCAAGATTCAACCAAATGTACCAGACAAGTGACTGCATTCCCACCAATAAATGATAGGTACTTTAGTGTCAAGCGAGGCATAGAGGACCAATATTAAAAGCCATCCCCATACTTCCTTACACGGGTATCCCCTGATTTATGATCTCCATATCTACAATATTTTGTTTTAGCGATGGTTATGTATCAAGACCACCCCATATTTACAATGCAAACAATATGCATGAACGATGGTCATCATCCGGCCACTGTGGACGCACATCTGTGCAATACAGTGCTAAGCTATCTTCCACGGTGATCACACATGGCCGCCAGTGTGTAACTCAATGATAACTGTATACATTGGTCAGTATTGGCGTCAAAAGTTTTTTTTTTTTAACCTCAGTGAGTGAACATGACTAACGTTCACCTTGTCCTCTGTTTTGGGGACCATGAAGTGATTTATGCATTTTTTTTAACTTAGCCCTTTGCCCCGGTTGTGAACACGATGCTAACAGTGTTGGCCGCAATAACGTTATCATTTTATTTGTTTGACATAGTCAACAGCATAACTTTGCAATCGTCTAGAAAGTCCAAGGCACCAAGGAAAACCGTGTACCTTGAGGCGAGGCTTGACATTGTAAAGCGGCATGAGACTCCTCAACATCTCCACACCGCCTTTAAGAGTCTCTTTAGCCTCGAAGGGGACATACAATGACGACCAGGCGGCTTCTTAATGTGGCGATGTGTGTTGTAGGTATAGTATGGTTTTTTTTGTTTTTTTACATGTGGGTCTCGGACTGGATGGGAACATATCCCACTGAAACGTTACAATAATCCCAATTTATGATATTTCGACCCGTGACGTTTTTTTTTCATGAACTTAACCACATCATAAATAGGGAATAACTGTTGTGTAATATAATTTCCCTATAAATTTTCATCACTATAGATGGCTGGCAAGGTTCAAAAGTTGATAAGCTGAATCGGAACAACAGCCAATTTAAATTTTAAAATAAAAACCGAGCAAATCCTGAACACCCTTCTATGAATGTTGCTATACAACAGATTCACAATGCAGAAACTTTCCCCACTGAATTGTGTGTGTGTTTAAGGTCAAGAATTTTCAGTCTTGCTGTAGTATAACAACATCAGCCGGGTATAAAGGGTCACTTGTAATTTGACAAAAACTCTACTGGATACTACACCCTTTAAATCCCAAATTTTACATTAATCTGGCATCAGTAAGACAGTTCAGGGAGGAGGGGGGACGAGAAGACAATGAAGAAGGGATGCTTTTTTGGAGCTGCTCACACTTCCTTTGTTTGGCCAAGTGACTGTATATGAAAGTATTTATCAGTACAGCTCTGGCAGGTGGCACCTGCTGAATAACAACAAATACAGACAATAATCAGGTTACAGGATGGGGATAGACAAAAATTTACCAATTGGAGGCAAGTTATCAGCTGTCATGAGCGGCATGGAAAAAAGCGAAATAAACAAATAAAATGAGTGACCACACTCTTGTATTATACACAAACCAAAGTAAAACCTCCCAATGGCCATTTGACCTACTTAAAAATTAAAGCAACTGATTCATATGTAAACTACACCTACTAGGTACTTTACAGGCAATGTATTTCCAATTTTATCAATGCCAATATAATCCTTTCTCAAAAGAGTAGACTTGGATACAGCATCAGACACAGAGCAATACTTTATTTGGTATTATAAAAAATACAAGAACATTATTGCATAAATAAATGTACTCTGCCAGTCAGCCATTTCTGTTCTGATCTTAAATAATCTATGGCACATTACTGTATTATCCTCTATATCTATGCCAAGTACAAGTGATCCCAGTATATTGGGTGTAACGAAGTCAATTGCAAGGATAAAGACAGATGGGGAGTGATCAGCCCAGCCTCAAGTTTCAGCAATAAAAATACAAATACTGTATATATATTCACTTTTCAAATGAGGGAGGTAAGACATGGTATATAGCACTGTCTATTCATTACTGGGTCTATTTCACATGAACCGCCATGTGGTGACAAGGAAACCCCTAATGGACTGCTTATTTTTCTGATACTGAATGTTAATTTTTTAAGCTATAATTTACCACCTTTTCCAGCCTTCTTATTAGGTTTTAGTTGGAGGCTAGAAAGTACTATATGAGAAGACACTCCCTCCCCACAGCAGAGTAAAGACTACTCACAGAAGGCCAAGAAAATGTCACGTTTACTAAATACCTGACAGATTCATTCAACAAAGGCAATTTAGCCACATGCTGCTTGAAAATGAATTGTCCAAAACAAACACTTTGTAAACCACACTAAATCATTTACTAAAATTAATCACCTATCAAAAAACTAAGAAGTATTTGAAGCTTATTTCTAATAGATAAGAAATTTAAACTAACACACACTGTAAGGGCAAAATGAACACCTCTCAAGCCATTTGAAGGAGAGAAGCCAACTATCCATCCCCAAAATAGTAAGTGAAAATACCATTCAACTTGAGATCTTGTCTTTTATCTAAATCACAAGTTTCTCTTATTATTTTTGTTATTGTATTCTGAAGATCCCAATTCCACTTCCCCCATTGCACACAAGGCAACTTTATAATGTCAGGATAATAATCATTAACCATTTGGTAAAATTATTGGTAACAATTGATTTTAACTGCCTGAAATAAGTCTTGAATGTATTAGCACATTAATATTTTAGGTAAATAGTGATATTTTCATTAGGGAGCTGAGAAAGCAGACCTACAAACACCTACACTTTCATTTGATGTTTAGGATCTTGGAGAAAAATTTTTCACCATTTTTCTAAACACTCCTATCCTCCGAGAGAACACTACATGCACTCTCGGTCAAGGATAAGTATTAATCTTTTAAGTCTTAAGCCAGCCTCATTATCCTACCAGTGATGGCAAGGTCAACAGAAGCCTCCTCCCAATAGTTCACAAAATAAAAGTATGCTCCGAGAATTCTTTCACACATCATATTCCAGTTTACAGGCTCTTCCGAAACTGCATTTAAACTCTGGTTCTTTACTTAAAAGCATTCACTGTCTTTTGGGAAATGATTCAGAAGCCTCTCCTTGATGTTGCTCTTCCATAGGAATTTCTTCAGGACCTTCAGGTTTAATTCTTTAGTCTCATATTTGGGGGAAAATACTCTGGCATCTGAATGAGCTCTTCTTTGCAATACTTAGCATATGGCTTTGCAATGTGACAATGAGCACAATCACTCATTTGTGTAAAAATCTAGATACTGTATGTTCCACAGAACACCAACATTGCACCTAACCTAAACACTTCATTTTCTATTGGATATTCCTGGTGCTGGGGAGCTGTAAACCAACACATCTAGGTACACAACTGGAAGCAGCCCCTCTATGTGATTGCTAAACTAGCTATCCTACTTGACAATAACTTTGCTCACCACTTCCCATATATTCACCAAGTAATGAAAACAGGGAGACTGCGTTCACTTAAACTTGGGCCTCATTAGCCCAAAATATCTTGCTCTGCCCACCCAACTAGCATGTCTGTTACCCTTACTTTCTCACATTTCAAATATGCTTTAATCCTTCATTTTTCACTACTTGACTACCTTGTACATAAGGTCTTTCTTGTTCTTTAGCAAACTGACTACTAGAGGCACTTCAATCCTTCACCTGTACATGACTGCAAGGTTCTCTCATGTTCCCTATACTATATGTGCTTCAATCTTTACAATGCCCCATTGACCTACATTTGTATCAAACTACAAAGTTACTCAGCATTTTTGGGTACAGTACTTTTATTTTAGCAACAGGGCTTTTGGTGTACTGTCCAGTGATAATTAATTAGGCCACTTGACATAGCAATGAAAACACAGGGTATAATAATTACCACATTATACTACTGGTGGTGTACTGTAGAGCCATTTCTCAATCTAAGTAACAATAGAATTACCAGTAAAGCAACTATCTAATTTGTAAAATACAACTTCCAAATAATTTATTCCCTTACAGAAACAGACAGAAGAGCTCCTGGATAAAACTTGCTCCCTCACTCTTCTGGACAAGAGATATGAACACATCAAGATCATAACACTGTTCTACTCTTACAAGCCCTGTTCAGCAAACGCACAAAGCAGTTGCAAGCAAAATCAACACCCCCCCCCCACTTTTCTTACTACTATACTGTCTCATTAAAGTTTTCATAAATGCAAGACTCTTACCTCATGACATTTGAAAACTCAATTGATGAAGATTTGAGTTTTAACTAGAATATGAAATGTCCGACTTAGTACGAATTAATAACCAGGTTAGGTATAGCCAATTAAATTACTTCTGAATTATGTATACATTGCTTGTACAGGGTCTTTTATAATTTTAATTCATTATGAAGGCATGTGAACCTTCTAAGTATATCATACATTGCATATCAAGTATTTCTACTTCTAACCCTTTGTTTCATACTTATCTTCGACCAGTCCCCCTTGAGCCACCCCAAACACCAGTGGATGAGGGGGTAAACAGTAGATAACTGATGAGACTGTTTCAGAACTCATTTTAACCATCAACAGGATGTTGAAGAACTTTGGAAATTAATGTCCTGGGAATGCTACACCCAGTACAGTATCCACCTTTGTTACTTATACTTGTGACACTACCATAAATTACTGTACTAAGCCGAGTTGTGCCACATCTGAGAAAATTAGTCACCAAAGCAATTTAAGGTTTCTCACCTTCTTCTCCCTCCTCTTCCTCAAAGTCTTCATCGTCCAAAGCTTCACCGGTATAGAACAAAATTGCTCGGGGAACAATTCTTTCACGAATGTAGTGGCCAATCTCAAAGTCTGCTGTCAACAAGGCTTGGGTATCATCATCCATCTCTTCGTCGGGATCCTCAGGAACTGAATAATGTCAGAATGTAGTTAGATTATAAGTAAACCATTCAAAATAATCCTTTATGCATCTGGCCCAACATGTATGACATTGTGTTACTACTATAAAACCTGTAGCCCATAACTTTCTTAATTAACCACTACCTTAGTTCAAAATCTCAATCTACCAGTACAGGTAAACCTCTAGTTACAATGTCCCAATCTAAGATTAATTTGCGTTAATGATATTCATCATCCTGTCACATGGAACACATCAATAACTTCATTTGTCAGCCGAGGTCATTTACCTGACTGCCGCCTTGTGGTCATCTAATGAACTAGTCCGGTTTCTTCTTGGTTACTTGTGCATAAGAAATGGAGCTCAAAGTTTATCGCCCATAATTGTTTTTCCCCCAACATATACAGTACAGGTTTACCTGTACACATTTCATAATTCATACATAAATTTAAGCTCAATCTCCCCCCCCCCCACCAATATATCGGCAGAAAACCGCAGATGCCATTTTCATTCTGTATCATTAATTAAATGAGCAATGCTCTCCATTACCTTGTCAATCTCTTAAACCTCCATCATGGTAATACTGAACCATGGCATCATTAGACATATAACCACAACACTGCCAAACAATACCTTTCCACACTTACCAGGTGGGGGGTTGAAGAAGTTGAAAAAGGAATCATTCTGTACAGTCTTAGTTATTGTCCTAACTGCTCCTCGAGATTTATGTTTCTGCTTCTTCTTGATTGTCTTAACCGTTACGTTCTTGCCCTTCTTCCAGTCTATGGTGCATCCCTGAAAATAATAATAATGAAATATCATGCAGTTAACATTTAAGAACATGTAATGAGCAAATGATCAAAACATAAGTAACTGCCTTAGGAACAACAATTATATATTGCACACACATACAGAGGCAGGGGAATAATTTCACAACAATGGATAGGGTATCAGTCATTCTGAAGTCAGGGTAGTGCCTTTAATTTAGAATACTGATAACAAGCTTCCAGTCAAACTGTGCTCTCACATATGGTGCAAGACAATGTTGCCTATTTAAGGTGTCCATGCATTTAATAAACAATAAAAATATATAAATAAGAATGATCTTAAAATATAGGTAAGGGACACCAAACTTCACACATTCTTAAAATTGTTCAAATGAAACTGGTATGAATTGAGGTAACAGTCAATGGACAAAAGTAACAAAAGATAACCATTAGTCACAAGTCAAGAATGTGGGGTAAAAAAAAAGGCTTAAAACTCACCTGCATTACTCTAGATTCCTACCACTGATTGGTACCACAGCAAAAAGTAAACTTTACCAAGAACATATTTCTAGTTCTCTTTGGTTAATAGAAGATACAGTACAACATTAGTTCACACCAAGCATATACAAGGCAATAATTAGAGAATGGGTACAGTATTTGAAACAAAACTAGTGTATAAATTATAATTATTGTTCAAAATGTAAAAAATAAGGGAATTCATAGGGCTTAAAGTTACCCCCACCGAAAAGATGGTACAGCCACAACTGGTCAAAAGGCGTAAACAAAACAGATCTACAGAAATGTACAAGTGAACAAACAAGTTTGAGCATTGGACAAATCTACTTAAAAATAATGTAGTGAAACAAAACCAACATTGGGTAATGGGTAGAGATATACTGTATATTCTTTCAAACTTTTTCCTCTTGCACTGTAGAGGATGGGCAGAAACATTCCCTTAGTCAACCATTCCTTCAGATACAAAGTAAATATATTTAAGGAACAATGGCTTGCTCAACATACCTTGCATTTAAAGATTTCTGGTCCCTCAAAGCCAAAGGGATCTTCCTTATCTGGAACACATTTCATTTCATAATACTTTGTTAAAACCTTGTTTGTGAAGTAATCGTTTTCCTTGAAATGAAACTCTAGGGTAAAGCCCATTGGTTGATCATGGAACTTCAGCTGGATATCTGTTAAATGCTTCAAGATTGGTTCATCGTAGTCTTGAACCATCTCCGCAAGCAAGTCAACATTTTTGAAGATAGTCAGCCAGAACTCCGGAATGCCTTTGGTGTTTTCATCAAAGTCGTGCACCCTAGAAGATTTGTATGGATTAGTTGAGTGACATTGGTTGTGTACTTGTCATTCTTGGTGCAGAACTTGATATACACGAAACATCAAAGTATACATATAAAAACTCACTTTGATTCTTCCTTCTCATCTATTTTTGCCTTTTCTTCCATGTCTTTACTAAGGCCCTTATCTTCTTCCTCCTCATCATCAGAAGGGAAGTCACATTCCTCATCATTTGGTTCATGCTCAGAGTTCACTACTAGTCTTCGCTTCTCATACAAGCTCTGGTGCATCTTGTCGTACTTAACCTGCAAGTGCACGGTGAAGGAAGTATTAGCCTGTGGACATAAGTAGTGCACACGATCTACCTGCATATATTTGTACGTACTCTATGTCCTGCACAAGGCTAAAAAAAAGAGAAAGGTATAGAATCCGGTCCACTTTTAACTGGATCACTAAATCATGCATAGAGGTAACTAGGGCAAGGTACTGTTGGTATATGATTGTACTATTATAAATTGTTCAGTATTTTGGACATTTTAAGAAGCATCAGTAAAAATAGTTTGAAAGCAAGAGATGGGATGTTACAACACAGGTGGGAGAAAGGTAGGTAAGTGTTGTAAAGTAATACTGCACAGTACTGACATGTACAGTCCCCTTCACTAGTGTATTTACAGGGGTTCGCCATATAAACATTCCACAAATCATTACATTGTGATATTAGTTTTAATATTCTTTTGCTTTGATTCCGAATATGTTTACTCTTACGAGGTTCCTTCTGTCGAATGTAATCAAACAGCGCTGCCACATTGCACACAGCCTGACTAGCCCTTGTAAATGCACTAGTGATGGGGACTGTACACAATGGTCATGACAGTTAAAACATGGATGTGTAAATTTTAGGAACCAGTAATCATGACTAGTTTAAGACAATAAAGTGGGTAATGTATTTACTGTACAGTAACAAATTGTAATAGTCATGGGCTTCATGCTCTCAGAACTGGTTGTACAACTAATTTGACAAAGATAACAAATGTGAATTTGTTTTGTATAAGAGAAATAAAAGACCGATCCTCACTCAAACAATGTCCATCAACTAAGCAAAGAACTTGTGTACAGCACTGCCAACAAAACTATCTTAATTCAGCCCAATTTTAACAACAAAGGAAATAAAGGGAGATTTTCATGGAAAACAGTGGTTTTATAAGTAACTTAACACCATAAACTACCGAACAACTGTGATGGATGAATGTTAAAGCAAGAAACAAGTCTTATTATTTTTAGTTTCCTGAAAAATCATGAAGCAAACTTCTAAGCAAGATGCCCAACATAAGACTTTTTCATAACCTTTGTGAGTGATAAACACAATGGGTCACACTACACATTGTTCGCCAATATACTCAAATCTACTACTTTAAATACCGACTAGTAAATATTTATAGTGCCATGGCCAGTAAACTATACAGTATGCTTTGCACATCGAGTCATAAAACAATTAAAAAATCCTATTTAGATACTGTACACAAAACATATGATGGCTTGGGGCCCCTGGATTTACCTATAGACAGCACCATGACCAGGGATAGTGTTATGAAGGTCAGACCATGACACAGGGTTTAATGGATCCTCCGACAACTTACCTCTAAAGCATGAACTTCTTGGTAAAATTCTGCCTCTAAGTCTGTGTACTGGAGTTGGAGCTTTTTTAATGCCTTTATACGTCTCTTAACAATTGTGGGCAGAGACTGAAAGAAAAAAGCAATTTCACATGACCTATTCAGACAAGACCATTTTATAATCACAATGATGGCCAATTAATCAGCTTTATTGAAACAAGTATTCAAATATGACTTCAAATGCACTAAATTATTTACATATTAATGTTATGTACTTGACCAAACCAAACTAATTAGTCAGTATTAATGTACTCAACCATACCTCCATATCAAAATAAACCATCAGCCAATAATGTGATGTAACAAAAAATAATACAACTAGCATGTAAGTGGAACAAATTAATTTAATAATGAAGCCCAAAAATATTGCCACCCAATTTTCATATAGCCTAATAACCCAGTGCTCCATCATAAAACTATGACAGCATTAGCCATGATGTAAGGTGCAGCAGTAAGTTGAAAACTGGGTTAGAGTAACAGCTGAAGCCATGCCTGTGTACCAAGAGGATTAGGCCTTGCACCCGTATCTCCCCTGTGGAGAGGATTACCTGCTCCATGACTCCCGGACACACTGAATTTTTTGAGAAAAATAGTACAGCCATAACCTATTTGATATTTACCATTTAAACTCTCACACTAGTATACAATCAACCTTTTTTATATTTCTCCCAATTATATAAATTGTGGCTGTCAGTCCTAAGTTAGTTTCATATATGAAAAAAAAAGTTATTAAACCCTGCACCTTGTTTATTAGTAAAGCCTACAATGTAATAAGAGAAAAAAAGAGGTTACTTTATCTTGTTGGCAACTAAATAGAATAATGATTTGTTTTTCTTCATTTTGCCACATATGTAACTTGCCAAACCATCTAGAATAACAACCAGTAAAATTTTTCATGCTTTTAAGGTGAAAATTTGACAAATTCAGCAACTTTCAACTTGTAGGTCACCAAATATTTTTAATCATAATGCAGTACAATTAATCCAGGATTTCTTTTTAAAGACAATTAGACCACAAATAAAATTAAAGAGGTACCACATGGAGGGGTTGACAATATTGAGGACACAATAATAGTGGACTTTCTCTAGTCTGGAGTTCTCTTGGGAGGCCACAACAGTAAATAGTCAAGAGCAACATACAACATGAACGAACATGACCTAACAATCTTGGATCACTAAAGTTAGATTAGATTATCCTCGTTCACATTATCTGCTTTCATAAATATTTACCACTGAACACTTCCCCCAGAACTCAAGACCAATGGAAACACCACCACTGTTGCAGCAGGATACATTCCAATGTCCAGTCTTGGAGAGAATAGGCTTGATACAACACTTACATCACTTGTGATGTGAGGAATCACAACACATAAATGCAATTGGTATTTAAGGTAGACAATAAGGTATGGTTAAACTGAGGTATCTAATTAGCAGAATATTATCAAAAAGTTTCTGCTATCCAGAGGATGAGAAATGCTTTTATCACACTTCAAAATCTGACAAAATACTCCCAAAAGTTAAATTTCTTTGTAAATTAATTGCTAATACTGGCTTTGTGGTTACTTTTGTTATTAAATAATCATTAATGCATATTGTAAATATAAAAGGTATTTCACTGTTAATTAGTGCTGCTACTAGTTTTGTGGTTAAGTTAGTAATCTATCTGCAAAATTCAAGCATTTTACAAAAAATTAATTTTCCCCAATACTACACGTTAAAAGATAATCATTTGATGATGGATCCATTGCTATATCCAGCTCAATATGCGTGTTCTACCCCCGTGCAGCTAGGCATGGAGCAAAGCTAATAGCATTGTTTTGCTAAAATTATAAATCAATTAATGATTTAATCTAACTGATTAAATCATTTCTCTGCCCCTGCATCTTACACTAATATAACCCGAGGGAGTGCCAAGGAAGCGACGGAGTTTGGTCTGTAGGGCAGCCAGCACCTGGGGATCCTTCATCAGTTTGTCTACCAGCTCCTTGCGCTCACCACCTCCCTCTTCATCCTCGTCAACTTCCACCTCATCTTCAGACATATTCTCCTCCTCCTGAGTTGGCGCTGGCGTTGCCTCTGTTCCCTTCTCTGGATCTGCCATTTTCTTTTATTCTAGTTGGTCAAATTCTGAAAAGTAAATTGGGAAACCTAAATTATACAACAGACAACAATGTTTAATATTCAAAAAGTCAACTGACATTGTTATATTGCTACTGTGAGGAAAGGTTAATGGTAGGGGCTACCTTTCCAGTCATCTTATACAGCATCCAAGTGTTGAACTATTCACTAAAGCAGAAATACTGTACCATTAACCAGTGGTATCGTTGTTTACAACCTTCCACCCACCAATCAGAGAGGAACAGGAAGGTTTTAGGTAAGGAAGAGGTTAGCAGATCAAATACAATAATGTGGTTTACTGAGCACTGCCAATATAAAGATTATTTCCCGCTAAAAACATTTTAGTAATTTTGTCATTGATAAAAGTCCAAAGGCACAGAAGCCTAGGTAGTGGCCCTAGCACAACATGCTTGATTCATTATAAAGTTGTAGACTTATACAGGATAAAATAATAATAATCCCTTGTAGAGAAAAAAGGGGAATAGCTGACAACAGTTGCTAGCCTCAACTACCAATATGAGGACATTCCTCCTAAGATGGTGAAATGCTTCTTTACCTCACAAGGACAAGAGTGGACAATTTTTTTTATTATTATAATCTACAGGTACTTATTTTTTTACCCCCAAGTTTTCCATCCTGGACGCTCGCCTATGGCCAGGAGATCCGAGCTTCATTGCCACAGCACACCCCTTCACTAAGGCATTTACAGGGGCTCGTCATAAATTTTCCACATACAGTATTATCCAAGATATTTGTTTTAATATGGTTTAAATTTGATTCCATAATATGTTTACTAGTGTGAGTTTCCTTTTGTCAAATGTAAATAAAACAGCGCTGCCACACTACACAACATCTGACGAGCCCCTGTAAACTTATTAGTGAAGGATTGTGTACTTTGTTTACATGTGGGACAGTTTGATAGCTCCTGTCAAACAAGAATACTATTTATGGAAGTAATTATTTTAGCTTGTTAGGTTGGTTAAATTTTTGGACGAATATTCCCAGACCTTGAAACAACTTAAAACTCCTGAAGTGCCAGATACTGCCACCATACATTATTTAAGTATTCATAAAATGAATTAAACCAACCAACGTTACCTTTTAAACTTGTTGCCAATATCTTCTATATAAACAAACCCGTTCTCATCACACCTTTTGTCATACTCATGAGGTAACAAAGTACTATATTTATCTTGTATGGAGAAATGTCCTCAAGCTGATGGTTCAGTTGCACAACTCTAAGTGCAACTAAAAAAGGTACCTGTACTAAATGATACCTGTATACTGTAGTCATTTTTCCTGTGTTCTAAGATGGAAATTTTGGTTTCATTAACCAAAAAATTTTTCAGAAAGACATTTCTGTACACTGTAGTCATTTTTCCTGTGTTCTAAGATGGAAATTTTGGTTTCATTAACCAAAAATTTTTTCAGAAAGACATTTCTGTACACCAAATCAATTCTGTATTGTGATGTCAATACAAGTGATCTACCAAAGACTTGAATCAATGTACATAATTCAATGGCTAGACCTCAATATCTTACTGCTTTAAACTAGAGAAGGTTGGTTCATGTTTATCATAAGCTTACAGTATACAGGGGTATTTGTAGTTACACAGATGGTATAGTCATTATCTACATGTAGCACAAGTTCAGTGATAACTTGTACAACTAGTGATGGTACAGTAAAAAAAACCCACCTCACAAAAATAAAGGGTTACAATATACAAATGTAGTGCACCCAAATCAAGTATTTTTAAATAATTTTTAATTTAAAAATTTTCTTTACCCAAAAAAATATATACTGTATATACAAATGTAATTTCTTGTACTGTATTCTTTTTTGGCCTTGATGTTGCAAACACCTTGTTTATTTGCACCTGATACCCAACTTAACACATTTAGGCTATTTGCACCCAAAACACAAGCAACTGTTAAGAGCATAAAGGGAAGCAGTCGATTATTTACACATACTGTACATGTCAAAGATTATACTGTACTCAGTTGGATTGTCTGGTAATCACTGGCAAATAACATTCATAGTAATGCCACTGTCGTGTAGTACAGTATACTGTACTGTATACAAATAAGGCAGTCGTGTGCAAATACCCAAGATCACTTCCATTAACCTTACCAAGTATGTATATAGTACAGCATCGTATTTAAATTTCTGGGCCAAATAAACTACACTGAGATTAAGAATATGGACAAATCTCATGTCTTTTGACAGCAGTGAAACTGTACTCGCTGCAGCTGAAGTTAGGTTCCTTGGGAAGCATTCAATTCTTCGCCACCGCGTTGTGACGAGATTTTTCCGTACAACCAGCCTCTGCCATTAAATGAACCCTACTAGCCTACAATATATTAAAATATTAATTATGTGATGTAGTCTTTGCTGGGAGCATTTTTGCAATCAAAATAGCACCAGCTATTTCAAACTGAAAACCAACCTAACCTAGAATGAATACCTTAATTAGCAGAGGACGGTCCAGGAACTGGCTTGAGGTTGAAGTTAAAAACCTATTGGTTGAAAATGCAACAATACCAAAAACCAAATTTAAAGAGGTAACACAGGAACAGTGCTCTAAGACATAGGAGCCCCCTTAGCTCTATAAGGATTTCCTCAATATTTTTTCTCGTTTTTAACACCTAGAGTATTATTTGTTGTTAGTTTGGTTAATTTGAAGAATAAATTACAGAATGTAGCAGTACCTGGTACATACTTAAAACCGTTTGCAGCTGATAGGAGTTTCCAAGATGGATCAATGATAATTTATCATTTAAAAGTGAGCAAAATCACCTACTTGTACTTATCCTAACCCAATATACTAGTTACCTCGTATTTTAAACTTTATAGTGACAATACTATCACCTGTGCCTATCCTCCCCCACAGTGGGTGAATGCAATGCTCAGGTTAGGTTATTCTCCCCTCTACTTAAAGCCCTTCCCACCTTTGGGAGTCAAGACCAGCTAAATCAAGTGTGTTTGCAGAATTACCCTGTACAGTATCTTCCAAGGAGAAATTTTCTAGCCAGTACTAAAGGCACTCCTGTTAAGCATTACCAGTAAAATTAAAAAATTGCCAATTCCTACTACTGCAGCAAAGCCTTTTTCTTTGCATTAGTGACTGTGTGTGTGTGTGTGTGTGTGTGTGTGTGTGGGGGGGGGCAACTCTACAATTATTTAGGTGCACCACTTAAAAAGGATATTTTATTGCTTCAGTCCAATAGACGTTTAGGTTAGGTTGAAAAAAAATTCTGATGGTTTTTGTTTTGTGTTCCAAATAGGTGGATGACCGAAACGATAACTTTACCTTACAAAGTACCGGGTATTACCAAATACTGTACAGTAATACCTTAAATATCAAAAGAAAATTGGGAAGCATCAGCACAGTAGTAACCAACCCTGGCCCAGGACTGTTGTTGCTACAGGTCAAGACCCAAAATTACACAATTAGATCATGTTAGGAATGTTCTTGAGAAGAGGAGGTTTTTCTCCACCTGAAAATTTTCTAATGTTTATTGTTAACCCACACCTAAGTATTACCAGGCAACTTTCTAACATTTTCTGTAAGAGTTAGGTTAGCTTGGTAGTTGTGATTGATTAATTAGTACATACAGTCTTAGTGCAACAAAAGCCAAGATCATATGGCGCCAGATATATTTAATGGTAACCTTATTATAAAAATAATGGAAGAGGTAAAACTGGTTGGAGTACCACCACCCGGGCAGCACGACTCTTCCCCCAGCAGCAGAGTAAGAACCACCCGCACCCCAAGGCACCGGGAGAGGTGCTGACACCGTCGGTCTCCCGGTAATTGTAAAATGTGAGGAATAGTGAACAAGGGCCAACAACTATCAACTATCTGGACCACAGGCTGTTTGCCCACAACACAATAGAATCCATTTAATTCTACATTTTGCTATTACACTGGTAAGTTTTTTGGTGGGTGAACCAAACCTGTCAAAAACAAAACCATAATATGGAAAGCAGTAATGACTTGGGTTCCATTCAACAAGCTAAAAACCCAATGGCCATGAAGCAACCACCCACCAAGTTAGCAGAGGCTTAATATTATGGCCAGGCAGCCTATGGGGTAGGTAGGCACATCATTAAGGCCAGAGCCAATAATGGTTCAAAATGAAGAACAATTACATAGTGAATACTGTACAGGTATAGCAGCTGTATGTAAAAAATCACACTGGATACAGGTACTGCAGCAATATTGATGGACTGTGTTGTTAATGGTTTGGTTAACTAGGTTAAGCCAAGTCAGAAAGTCCATCTTCATATCTATGATAGCTTAGTCTGTTCACCATGCATACACATTAGGCTGATGGACGTTTCACATTGCTGCTGTACCTGTAACAAGCTTAGCAACTTTGTAGTAAGTGCTGGAATGCTGGAAAGTTTCAAAAGGAGGCTGGATAGATTCATGGATGATAAAGTGGTAGTAACTCTCGACAGGAGCTGCCATGCACAGGCCAACCGGCCTATTGCAGACTCCTTTTTTCTTGTTCTTATGTTCAGTGCAAATTGTGATTGCCTTTGGTAATTATCATTCCATTTTTTTAGGTTTGTGGCATTATGCACATAAATCTGACAAAATGAACATCAGGTTGAGTTACTTAGGATGCTGCAAACAATTTGGGGTATTTTAGTTAAATACAACTATCTCATTTGGGGACTTGGGCATTTGTAATATACAAGGGGTGTATAGGACTAATAGTTGCATTATTTTTCTATGACAACGCGTAATGTCAAATAACGAAGATATTGGATGTGTTCTATTCTCCTGCTATTATCATATACAGGCAATTGTCGCCACCACTTTCGCAAGATATGTTTACAACCAACCCACTCGATCTAAGCATAGCCACGTCCCCCAAATAACGGGGGGTGGCCAATGAGGTTAGTTAGGTTAGGGGATATAGATAAAGTTCTTATAATATCCGAGCAGGATAGGACTCGGAGCAACGGATTCAAGTTGGATAAGTTTAGGTTTAGGAGGGAGATAGGAAGAAACTGGTTCACAAATAGGGTGGTGGACGAGTGGAACAAGCTTAGCAACTTTGCAGTAAGTGCTGGAACTCTGGAAAGTTTCAAAAGGAGGCTGGATAGATTCGTGGATGATAGAGAGTGGTAGTAACTCTCGACAGGAGCTGCCATGCACAGGCCAACCGGCCTATTGCAGACTCCTTATTTTCTTATGTTAATTTTTAGGTCATTTGTGAGGGAATCGTCATAGAAGAAAACTTAGAATTGTCTAAAATATTGATTGCAAAGATAAAACTCCTAAGATTCCATGGTTGCATGAATGGAAAATTTTGCCTAATGGTAATTATTGACGACTACACCGCCGCTGATTACTCATAAAAAAAGAATTATAAAACGCCACAATTTCAGTTTTATAGTGAATACTGTCGTAGTTATGTGTTAAAAAATTATCTAAAAGTTCAACAACCTAACCTAACCTTACTTGTAAATTTTCAACAAAATTAGAGAATGTACAGCTAAAGAACATAAAAAATCTTGATTTCTTAAGTGTTCTAGAACATTGCCCAAAATGATTTAAGATAACATTCCACCTATGATGCACTGACTGCAGCCGTCTAATTGAAAATCCATCTCAATTAATTTTCGTAATACACGGCTGAAATTAAGTCACTTTAATCTAATCCACTTAACTGAGGATGCAGATGGTATCCCAATCCACTTTACTGTCCACTGCATACTACCCTAAACAATTTTACTAAACAGGATAAATTGAGGTAAAGGTTTACGAAACAGCCATCACCACCCTAATTCACTTCCCATCCCAGGTGGGGTCGTTTCATCTGTTGGAAGTGAGTCACATTAACAGGACTTACTCCTGGTAACATATGATGGCTGTCATGTTAATGATATGAATGCATCCATAGTTAAATTTTCCGTATTCTACCTGAACACTGAACTAATCTAATACATGTGGTAAATCTTTCGCCCTGTTAATTACGGATATAAAAAGATAACATTAAGTAATCTTTACAATATATCACTTTAAAAGACCACACCAGACAGCCTCTACCTACGCAGCCCACTTGTGCGAGAATCCTAAAGTGTGAACGACCCATACACCACCTCGCCCACTCCCTCTCTCTATGATGGAAAATTAACCCAGATTGAGATGTTCAAGCAACATGAGGACATTTTATTATTATTATTGATACAATCCATACTAATCCTACCGTACATTACCGACGTATCCAAACCGCCGGTCAAGCCGCTAATTTCTCCTTCACTTCGAAAGGAGAAAAATAATTTGAAATTCAGACTAATCAAGACCTAGGATATAAGGGCAGGGTGGTGGTGGTGGTAGCGCCCGTGAGGTGCGGGGGTGCGCATGGCGGCTCCGGCCCACGTGAGCGCAAGACAAAGAACATGTCCTCCTCCATACTCCTCCTAACCACTGTCACCCTTCACTCGGGTTACTGCCACGCGCCCTCCTCCAGTACTCACTTCAACCTGCCCATATAACTCTCCTTCACCAATTTCCAGCTCAAGTAACACTAGAAACAAGAACATGCGCCGCGCTCACTACGTCGTGGTCATTACCGCGCTATTCAGTTCGCGGCCTTGGAATGTCCTCTCTTTTCTATCCTTCACAAAACTTTCCAGCCACAAATTAACACAACCACGTCAATTTATCATTTAAAACAGTTCGGTAACTTCAAAAAGGGGGATTAATAAATCAATAACGAGGAGGTCCCTTAACTCACACCTACTGACCTTCTCCCTACGAGTTCCGGAGCCAGACAGACTAACATGCGGCAAAGATGGCGCCAAACACCGGGTCACGTGACTACAATGGATTTTACATGGAGGAACACTTCTCATCCTCAGATTATCCCAGCATCTTGATTTTGAAAGAATATAAACATTAAAATATATATTATTAAACTATAAATTATATGTTGAAGGTAATATTTACTATAAGTGTTGTACAGTGTCATTTAAATCATTTTTCTCCGTATCCAAGTATCGATGAACATATGACGTCACAGCTCCAGCCAATCAGGACCTCCCAGTGGATTTGGCGGGAGAATGTAGAGTGAAGATGAGTCACCATACTTGAAGGAAATACTTTACCCTCTTGTTATTTATGAAAGAATGGTGTTAATAGGAAGCAGCCCGAGCCTAATATTCGAGAATTATTATTTCCTTTCATTCTCTTCCTTTTCATGAGATAATTTGTCTGGTTTATCACCGTTTAAATTCAACATAGCATAAAACAGTGCTGTGTGGTAACAATATGAGCGCCACAGCTGACAACGGGCATCATCTTACATACTGTGATATATTTCCACACAACGTTCAAATCTACATTACCGTTTTTCATAAACAAATCTTAAATGTACTAAATTTAGAGTGACTTATTTATAAAATTTAAACCGTATAACAATAGTTATCAGAGAAATGTTTACATGGCTATATCAGCGTAAATGATAATTGTAAAAACTTTTCACTATTTCCTCAAAGGAGAGACGCGGCCCATGGTTACACCCAGTCATTTTACTGAAGATACAGACATTATTCTCATTTGTATCGCCTTTAAACGTATCTTTTCTACCCTGAGAATCCAATGAAAGACAATTTACAGGTACTGAATATCTTGCAGTGTAAAGTAGCGAATACCATTATATTCTATATAACGTAGATGGGTCCGGGTTTAGCATGATTCACATGCAGGGCACTTCATTATAAAACACGACTATCCAATTATGAATTAATACTACATACTTTATTTACTCAGCAGTCAATATATTATTCCTTGTCAAGAAAAATAGTTTAGTAGCAAAAATATAGTCAAGTTTTAATTATAAGTTAGACATGATAATTGCTGGGTACATACAGTAATAACCACCACATCGATGCACATAATACAACACAGTATCTAACTGCAACACCAACATAAATGCTGAACTACCTGTACCTACATTACATATTTTTTCTTTCTCATAATACAGATGCACAGTGATATATTGCTATTGTACACTGGCAGATCGATATAACTAGGAATAACCCGTCAACATTCTAAGCTGTCCGTGAACATACCGGCTTATTCCTTGCCATCACGTCACTTAATTACCTAACTATTCCACAATTTTAAGATTTTTGATATGATGTATGTTAGAAATTATTGGATATTGTGTTTACATGATGATTAGCCCCCTAGCTTATTCACATGACTAAACACGATACCTTGGGAGATCAGGAAATAGTCAAGGAAGGGGCTGGGAGGAAGGTGTGGATCCAGGAAATATAGCGGTGTTGTGTGTGTGTGTGTGTGTGTGGAGACATTGGTGTTGGCGATGTGTGATGTTGAGGATGTATGTTGCAAGTGGATATTTTGGGGTCTTGTTGTGGTGGGAGGGGGGAGGGGGCACCATTGCAGTAAACATCTGGTAGGGCAGTTAGTGAGCACTGACGTCTGAATAAACGGAGTCTGTATTTTTTATTCCTGCTTCACTGTGTTATATTGGCGAGGATTACTATTATTATTAATATTAGTAATAGTAGTAGTAATATTTGTAGTAGTAATAGTAGTAGGAGTGGTAGAACGGTAATAGCAAAAGTTATATTTGATTAATTTAGTCATTAAAACCATTATTTTCCTTTAAAATTATCATTACAGTTATCGTCATTATTAACACCGTACCATCACTCATCACACCCAAACACATTAATTCTAAAAGGAATCTAATGATCTCAAATACTTCTGCAGCGACAAGTCAACTAGTTATACTATAACCTTTTAAGATTAAATCAGAGCGAGGTTAACAGTCTCACCAGGCAACATATTATTCTCAAGGCGCTGCAGTGTTTTACCTCCCTTGAAAGATGTTACACAATCTTTCTCCAATAGTGAACTCTCTTATACCACTTTCGCAATCCTCCTACTCCTCGTCTCCTTCCTCATTCCTCCCATGATGTCTGCATCCTTCCTCACTCCTCCCATGATGTCTGCCTCCTTCCTCACGCCTCCCATGATGTCTATCTCCTTCCTCACTCCTCCCATGATGTCTATCCTTCTCCATGATGTCTGTCTCCTCCCTCACTCTCCATGATGTCCTCCTTCTCACCCTCCCATGATGTCTATCTCCTTCCTCACTCCTCCCATGATGTCTATCTCCTCCCTCACTCCTCCCCTGTGTCTATCTCCTTCTCCTCCTCCCATGATGTCTATCTTCTTCCTCCTCCTCCCATGATGTCTATCCTCCCTCACTCCTCCCATGATGTCAATCTCGCTTCTCCCACTCCTCCCATGATGTCTCATCTTCTTCCTCCTCCTCCCATGATGTCTGCCTCCTCCCCACTCCTCCCATTGATGTCTGCCTCCTTCCTCACTCCTCCCATGATGTCTGCCTCCTTCCTCCCACTCCTCCCATGATGTCTGCTTCCCCTCACTCTCCCATGATGTCTATCTCCTCCCTCACTCCTCCCATGATGTCTATCTTCTTCCTCCCACTCCTCCCATGATGTCTGCCTCCTCCCTCCTCCTCCCATGATGTCTGTCTTCTTCCTCACTCCTCCCCATGATGTCTATCTTCTTCCTCACTCCTCCCCTGATGTCTGCCTCCTCCCTCCTCCTCCCATGATGTCTATCTTCTTCCTCACTCCTCCATGATGTCCTATCTTCTTCCTCACCTCCTCCCATGATGTCTGCCTCCTCCCTCACTCCTCCCATGATGTCTGCCTCCTTCCTCCCTCCTCCCATGATGTCTGCCTCCTCCTCACTCCTCCATGATGTCTATCTTCTTCCCTCACTCCTCCCATGATGTCTATCTTCTTCCTCACTCCTCCCCATGATGTCTGCCTCCTTCCTCCTCTCCCATGATGTCTATCTTCTTCCTCCCCTCCTCCCATGATGTCTATCTTCTTCCTCACTCCTCCCATGATGTCTGCCTCCTTCCTCACTCCTCCCATGATGTCTGCCTCCTTCCTCCCTCCTCCACGTGTCTGCCTCCTCCTCCCTCCTCCCCCATGTCTATCTTCTTCCTCACTCTCCCATGATCTCTGTCTTCTTCTCCTCCTCCCATGATGTCTGCCTCCTTCCTCTCCCCATGATGTCTGCCTCCTCCCTCACTCCCCCCATGATGTCTATCTTCTTCCTCACTCCTCCCATGATTCTTCTTCTTTCCTCCTCCTCCTCCATGATGTCTGCCTCCTTCCTCCTCCTCCCATGATGTCTGCCTCCTCCCCTCACTCCTCCCATGATGTCCTATCTTCTTTCCTCCTCCTCCCATGGTGTCTTCTTCCTCCCTCCTCCATGATGTCTGCCTCCTTCCTCACTCCTCCCATGATGTCTCCTCTTCTCCTCCTCCTCCCATGTTGTCTATCTTCCTTCCCTCACTCTCCCATGATGTCTGCCTCCTCCCTCACTCCTCCCATGATGTCTGCCTCCTTCCTCCTCACTCCCATGATGTCTGCCCTCCTCCCTCACTCTCCCATGATGTCTATCTTCTTCCTCCTCCTCCCATGATGTCTATCTTCTTCCTCCCACTTCCTCCCCATGATGTCTGCCTCCTCCTCACTCCTCCATGATGTCTATCTTCTTCCTCACTCCTCCATGATGTCTATCTTCTCCCTCCCTCCTCCCCATGATGTCTGCCTCCT